CTGGTCTTGGGCTTTGTTTTTGGTTGGTGGGATATTTATTACTGGCTCAATTTTAGAACTCGTTATTGGTCTGTTCAGGGAATCAGTTTCTTCCTGGTTCAGTCTTGGGAGGCTTGTTGGGGTGATCAGACCCAATAACAGGTCGTTGGGATGATGAAGTCCAGTGGAGTCAAAGGGATGAGACAAAGATAGTTTGAGAGAGGAAGTGGGACCAGGGGTCCATTGTGAGTGTGGAGGCTGTGAAGGCCCCGATCTTGGGAGCCCATGCTATTTATTGGTGCTCAAACAAAGAAACAGGTGGTGAGGATGTGGGGGTTGAAAGGAAATGGTGTATTAAGTGAACGAGAAACATATGGCTACTTGAGATAATGGGAGTGCTAGAAGCAAGGAGCCAGCAAGTCCAGCAGACTTGCAAGCCCTGCCTCAGCTTCTCTCCCAACTACTCAACTTTTCTCCCAAAAAGGGTGTATGCGTCCAGGAATTTATCTGTTTCTTCTAGATTTTCTAGTTTATGTGCATAGAGGTATTTATAGTATTCTCTGATGATTGTTTCTATTTCTGTGGGGTCAGTGGTGATATTCCCCTTATCATTTCTGATTATGTTTATTTGATTCTTCTCTCTTTTCTTCTTATTAGTCTAGCTAGTTGTCTATTAACTTTTTCAAAAAACTGTTCCTGGATTCATTGATTTTTTTTTTTTTTGGAAGGGATTTCTGTGTCTCCATCTTCTTCAGTTTAGCTCTGATCTTGGTTATTTCTTGTGTTTTGCTCACTTTGGGGTTGGTTTGCTCTTTGTTCTCTAGTCCTTTTAGTTGTGATGTTAGGTTGTTAACTTGAGATCTTTTTAGCTTTTTGATGTGGGCATTTAGTGCTATAAATTTCCCTCTTAACACTGCTTTAACTGCATCCCAGAGATTGTGGTATGTTTTCTTTTTGTTCTCCTTACTTTCAAAGAACTTCTTGATTTCTGCCTTACTCTCATTATTTTCTCAAGAGTCATTCAGGAGAAGGTTGTTCAATTTCCATGTAGTTGTGTAGTTTTGAGTGAATTTCTCAATCTTGAGTTCTAATTTGGTTGCACTATGGTCCGAGACACTGTTATGATTTCAGTTCTTTTGCATTTGCTGAGGAGCGTTTTACTTTTGATTATGTGATCAATTTTAGAGTAAGTGCCCTGTGGCCATGAGAAGAATGCATATTCTGTTGTTTTTGGGTGGAGAGTCCTGTATATATCTATCAGGTCTACTTGATCCAGATCTGAGTGCAGGTCCTGAATATCTTTGTTAATTTTCTGTCTCAATGATCTTTCTAATATTGTCACTGGGGTGTTACTGTCTCCCACTGTTATTGTGTGGGAGTCTGCATCTCTTTGTAGGTCTCTAAAAACTTGCTTTCTGAATCTGGGAACTCCTATTTTGGCTGCATATATATTTAGGATAGTTAGGTCTTCTTGTTGAATTGAACCTTTTACCATTATGTAATGCTCTTCTGTGTCTTTTTTGATCTTTCTTGGTTTAAAGTCTATTTTGTCAGAAACCAGGAGTGAAACCTCTGCTTTTTTATGTTTTCCATTTGCTTGGTAAATATTCCTCCCTCCCTTTATTTTGAGCCTATGTGTGTCTCTGTATGCAAGATGGGTCTTTTGAAGACAGCATACCAGTGGATTTTGGCTAATTATTTAGATTGCCATTCTGTGTCTTTTAATTGGGGCATTTAGCCCATTTACATTTAAGGTTAGTATTGTGTGTAAATTTGATCTTGTCATCATGATGCTAGCTGGTTATTTTGCAGACTTGTTTATGTGGTTGCTTCATCGTGTTACTTGTTTGTGTACTTCAGTGTGCTTTTGTAGTGGCTGGTAATGGTTTTTCCTTTCTATATTTAGTGTTTCCTTCAGGAGCTCTTGCAAAGCAGACTCCTTTGCTTATGAAGCTTAGTTTGGCTGGATATGAAATTCTGGGTTGGAAATTATTTTCCTTAAGAATGTTATCTATTGTTCCCCAACCTCTTCCTGGCTTGTAGGGTTTCCACTGAGAGGTCTGCCTGCTATTAGTCTGATTGGCTTTCCTTTGTGGGTGACTTGGTCTTTCTCTCTGGCTGCCCTTAACATTTTTTTTTTTCATTTCGACCTTGAGAATCTGATGATTATGTGTCTTGGGGTTGATCTTCTCATGAAATATCTTATTGGGGTTCTCTGCAGTTCCTGAATTTGAATGTTGGCCTGTCTTGCTACCTGGGGGAAGTTCTTCTGGATGATATCCTGAAGTATGTTTCCCAAGTTGGTTCCATTCTCCCCATCTCTTTCAGGTATCCCAATCAGTTATAGGTTTGGTCTCTTTACATAATTGGATATTTTTCAGAGATTTTTTTCATTTATTTTCATTCTTTATTCTCTAATTTTGTCTGCTTGTTTTATTTCAGCAAGATGGTCGTTAAGCTCTGAGATTCTTTCCTCTGCTTGGTCTGTTGTGCTATTGATACTGGTGATTACATTGGGAAGTTCTCATGTTGTGATTTTCAGCTCCATCAGGTCAGTTATGTTCCTCTCTCAACTGGCTATTTTGACTATCAACTTCTGTGTTGTTTTATCATTCGGAGCTTCTTTGCATTAGGTTACAACATGCTCCTTTAGCTCAGCAAAGTTTGTTGTTACTCACCTTCTGAAGCCTACTGTGTCGGTTCAGCCATCTCATCCTCAGCCCAGTTCTGTGCCCTTGCTGGAGAGGTGTTGTGGTCATTTGCAGGAGATGAGGCACTCTGGCCTTTTGAGTTTTCAGCGTTTTTGCACTGATTCTTTCTCATATTTGTGGTCTTATCTACTTTCGATCTTTGAGGTTGCTGACCTTTGAATGGGATTTTTGTGGGGTCTTTTTTGTTGATGTTTTTATTGCTATTGTTTTCTGTTTGTTTTCCTTTTAACAGTCAGGCTACTCCTCCAAAGGGCTGCTGGGGTTTGCTGGCATTCCTCTTCAGACCCTAGTTGCCTCAGTTTTTTTCTTACCTGGAGGTATCACCAGTGAAGGCTATGAAACAGCGAAGATGGCAACCTGATCCTTCCTCTGGAAACTCCATTCCAGGGGTTACTGACCTGTTGGCAGCCTGAAGGATGCACCTGTAGGAGGTGGCTGGAGACCCTGTTGGGTGGTCTCATCCATTCGGGAGAAACAGGATCAGGGACCTACTTAAAGAGGTAGTCTGGCTGCTTTTTGGTAGCACAACTGTGCTGCATTGTGGGGGACCCTTCCTTGTTTGGACTATCTGGACTCTCCGGAGCCAGCAGACTGGATCAGCTGAGTTGACCAGACGGCAGAGATGGTGGCTGTCCCTGCTCCTGGAAACTCAGTCCTTCTCAGGGAGACTCTGGCCTGTCATTGCTGGCTGGCTGGAATTCCAAGTCAGTGGGTCTTAACTTGTAAGGTGCCGTGCAAGTGGGGCCTGCAGAACGACGCTGCTTGGATCCTTGGATTCAGCCACACTCCTAGTGGTATGTAGGGACAGATCTGCCTTGCCGGGAATCCCAGGGGTGGAATATGCAAAACTCTTGCATCTCTGTGTGTGCCCGAACTGCTGCCCTACCTGGACGCCACACTGCTCTGTGTATTGGTGACGTGGTCATTATGAGAGGATCTCCTGTTCTGCTGGTTGCAAAGACCTGTGGGAGAAGTGTGGTTTCCCCAGGTGGGATTGCACAATCACTCACCACTTCCCTTGGCTGAGGTTGGGAGTTCCTTTGGCTCCACATGGGTCCCAGGTGGACTGTTGCCCCACCCTGCTTTTTTCTTCATTCTCTGTGGGTGAAACTATTTGTCTAGTCAGTCCCAATGCGAGAACCTGGATATTTCAGTTGAAGGTGGTGAGTTCACTCGCTGCTTTCATTCCTCTCCATGAGTGCCATAGACTATAGCTGCTTCTAATTGGCCATCTTGGCACTCTCTCCTGTTTGCTTTAAATGTGTACAGTTTAATTGCATGTCAAACATTCTGCAAGAGTTTTTTAAAATGAAAAAAAAAATTTCCAGAGATTTTGTTTTTCAGATAATTTTTCTAGTTACTTTTGGAGGGGCCAACACAAAATTGAACATATTTGCATGGAACACCCAACATAGGAAACAGTTTTAATTTTATTCATATTGTCTGTAATAAAGTAGATATTTCCCTTCTATAAGAGTTTTTTATGACCATGATGTCTCAGTCTTTTAAAAGTTTGTTGGACTTTTGATCTTTTTACTTGTATATACTAAGGAAAGATCTTATGATATTTGGATTCATTCTTGGATTGTAAGGACTCACCAGTGGGCTATAGGTCAAACTGAGTTTATTACCTTGACCTTAGTTTTTGTTTATTCAGTTCTTTAGGCTTCAGCACAATAGTCTTTGAAAATAAAACACTTCTTTTCTAAGAAGTGATAATAGCTGGTAAGATTGCAAATAAAAGCCAGCAGGGACTGCGTATGCCAGTTTGAATAGTCTAGTCCTATCATAGAAAAAGAATAAATTGAGTCCAGCCAAGGAGGTGACAGAGTGCTTAATGGTAGCAGGAGGTAGGTTTGGCACAGTAAAGGAAATGGAATAACCACATTATTAAAGACTTATTTTATTATTTATGTAAGTGGTCCCATCCCTGGAAATAATAAAATATAGCCTCTCACCTCTTATACCAATTATGAATAACTTTTGGGTGATTCTTTACTATTTTTGATTCTTCAATATGTTATCAGGGAAGATGTTAAAAACATGGACTTAAAGTTTTTTAATATGTAAATAAAAATCTGTTGGGGAGGAAGACTAGGAGGGAGGAAGACTGGGAGAAGGATGTTAGAAATAGCTTAAACCAGTTGAATCTATTTTTATTAAAAAAAATTTAAAACCTGTTTTATTCTATTCTTTCAGTGCAGATAATGAGCAAATTCAGTATATCATATAGTTCAATTTCTAAAAATAATGGTTGTACATATCCTTAGAGCTAGATTATAGTATATTTTTTACTGCTTTTGTTCACAGGATATTTTGAATAATCTTGAATCATGTGACCTTGAGGATGATGATCTTATGCTTGATGTGGATCTGCCTGAGGATGCACCTCTTGAAAATGGTAAGTTGAAACAATATTGAACCTTCAGAGGTATATACTTGAGCTACTTGACTGTAGCCAATTTGATATTTGTTGCTTGCAGACTTCTTAATCTTAATGGAGCCTTTCAGACTGAGAATCAGTCTTAAGTGATATAAAATAGGTTCATTTGCAAACTAACTTAAATATTTAAAACCTGATTTTGTAAGTCTTAGATATAATTCTCTATGATCCAATAACATTTTATATCATAAAGTAAGTTGCAGATAAGAGTTGTCTTTTCTTTTTCTGTGTATGTACCCAGTTTTTCCTCCCTTTATCTCGTATTGATTTTAGGAAGAAATGTATTTACAGAAACATACCATCTGACTTGTGAAACACTATAATATGTTAATTTGATAAATATTTTATAAAGATTAATTCTGGAAAGTGATGACCTTCTGAATGGATCATTCTGTACATTTTACTCCCAATTCTAGTCTGTCTTTCTCTCTAGATCCCAGTAACTGCTGGGGTGAGGCTTTAGATAATCCATATGGGAGAGGGGACTTAGGTTCTTTTTGCTCCAATGACATAGCACTTGTAGGATTTTTTTATCTTAAGAACTGTTGGAGAATCAGAAACCAGCATAAAAAAGCCCTGGGGGCAAAGGTTGAAATGAGGATACTCCTGGGGAGAGGGCTGCCCTTAGGAATCTGAGAATTTCCTGTCAATCAACATTTGCCTGGTCTCACAGGCCTCTATGGGCTAGAAATAAAGTAAAAATGGTGAGTGGGATCCTTTTATCCATGGTGCTAGAAAAATGCAAGGAATATTTCAGAGAGGTGAGGTATCTGCCCTAATGCTTCACTGGGGTGTTAGTAGCCTGCTTTACTGCTTTACTACCAGCTTCTATTTGTCATACTGGTGAGGCTTTTATTTTTCCTGCTGGAATGCTGTATGGCATTCTCAAAATCTCAGTTGCTTTCAAAATAAACATTTATTTTTCTCATTTATGGATCTAAGGATTAGCTGGGAAGCTGAGGCTATGGGACTGGCTTGAGGTCTATTCCATGTTTCTTCATTTTGAGACGAGGACCACTTTGGGGCAGGTTGTTCTCATGACAGCAGAAATGCAACAGGATGAGCAGAAACATGCATATTATGTCTCTTAAAGTCTTAGCTAAGAGCTAGCACTTTTTTTTTTTTAGAATAACAAAAAATATTTTACTAAAACATAAGATTTACAAAAGTTTCCAGATAAGCCATACCAAATGGTCACAAGATTTTTTGAAGTGGGGAATCTACTTGACAGCAAAGTCACAGTGTTATTAGTGAGGGTTTGATAGTTGTTTAGTGTTCCCATTTTAGTTCAAACAATCCAAGCTTGTCCATCTGCATTGTCTAAATAAGGTTAGATTTGGTTAGAAAGCGTGTTCTAAAGAACTGCTTAGCTGCTTTTAACCAATGCAATTAGATCACCAAAAAAAGGGAGAAAGGAGCCCATAAAATTAAAATAAAATCACCTCCCTCCTCAAAAAATAAAATAAAATAAAATAAAAATAAATGAAATAAAATAGAAAAGAAAAACACCCAGACCCCTGGAGCTAACCTGACAACCACTTTCATTTACAGAAGACACTTATTTCTAAGCACATTCTTTTGGCCAAAGCAGGTGACATGGCCAAACCTAGCACCTTTGGGACTGGGAAGTGTATTCTTCATAATGAAGGCTCTGCACATGATAGAGGACATTGCATGTATAATTCCGTAAGGAGAGAATGAGAAGGTGAGGATAATATCCACTACTCTCTCACAGCGATAGAGATTGTTACACCTTTTTGTGGTTCTGCTGTCGCTTAGTATGCTCTGGCAAACAGCTGAGTTCTAGTGCTGAAAAAGAAAAAAATCACAGGTAACACTGAGGAAGAACAAGGAAAATGACAGAACCCTGGGGATTAGAGTAGTCCAAGGAGATAATCACTTAGATTGAATTGCAGCACAATTTTTTTCTGGAGTTAAAAGACAAGATTTCCCAACAGAACAGTTTATTCAGTAAATGACAGAAAGCATCACTGCTATTGAATCCAAATTAGTGACTTGAAAGATCAAGTAGAAAAATATTGTAGAACACAGAGGAAAAACATAAACCATTGGAAAGTTATAGGGGAAGAATAATGAGACTTGATGATCTGGGAAATTTAATGGTAATTTTTAGGGCTGGTAGTGAGGAGTGAGGGATTTACTTCCTCGGAATAAATCACATGCTAGGTAATGCATTTTACTTTGACAGAATTATAACAACTTCTCTTGGAAACTTTATGCCCTTTCTGAGTAGAAGTAGAGAGAAAGCATCTTAGAGCCTGCCTTATCTTTAGCAGACAACAGAAAGTTACCCAAATATTAGATAAAAGTACAATCACAGAGAAATTTAATCTTTGAGGTCTTGATTGGGGACTTGTGAAAAGTAGGAGGGAACTCTTGGAAACATCCCACGTAAACAGTACTTTAGATTTTTCTAGAAGAAGGCAAACAACTATTGGCTATTTCGAGTAAAGGAACATTAAAGAAAGCATGTAAGAACATGGATCTAAAATATGTAGCCTCCTGAGGCACCAAAGATAAAATAATATCTAGGTTTGGTACTATAGGAAAGTGGGAAATTATTGTTTTTATGACTCTTAAGTCCTGAATGACTATACACACCCATTACAGTTTTTTGGCTGGGAAGATGAGAATGTTACAGGGACTGGTAGAGGTTTAGGGAGTCTTATAATATGCTTTCCACTACAGGTTTTAGTCCTTTATAGGTTCTGGTTGTTGATTATATTATGCAGGTTTGATAAACATTTAGACTGGGGCTAGGCGTGGTGGCTCACGCCTGTAATCCCAGCTCTTTGGGAGGCTGAGGCGGGCAGATCACAAGGTCAGGAGATTGAGACCATCCTGGCTAACATGGTGAAACCCAATCTCTACTAAAAATAGAAAAAAATTAGCTGAGCGTGGAGGCACACGCCTGTAGTCCCAGCTACTTGGGAGACTGAGGCAGGAGAATCGCTTAAACCTGGGAGGCAGAGATTGCAGTGAGCTGAGATCGTGCCACTGTACTCCAGCCTGGGCGACAGAGCGAGACTCCATCTCAAAAAAAAAAGTTAGATTGCTCACTGTGAACCATAACGAATGGTTTCAGTGCCCCTAATTCTACCAGTACCAGTGGAGTTTTGGCCCACAGAAGAGTGGCACCTCACTGAAATCTTTAATTTGGATACAAGTTTGCTGTGACCTCATTATGAATGACAGTTGTTAAATTGTCATTTCATGGAAGAAGCCATGAGGAGACTCTTTTTTCTGGTGAATGCATTTGTGCAGTTAATCTTTCCCTATTAAGTGATATATGTAGTCACACAAAGAAGGAGAGAATGTTGGTCAAATGTTTTCTGGACATTTGTGGGCTAGGATTTAGAGACTGTTATTGGAGGAAAGTTTTTGGAGATTGTATTAATCCATTCTCATGCTGCCATAAAGAACTGCCCAAGACTGGGTAATTTATACAGGAAAGAGGTTTAGTTGACTTACAGTTTTGCATGGCTGGGGAGGCCGCAGGAAACTTACAGTCATGGTGGAAGGGGGAGCAAACACGTCCTTCTTCACATGACAGCAGGAGAGAGAAGTGCTGAGCAAAGGGGGAAAAGCCCCTTATAAAACAATGAGATCTCATGAGAACTCACTATCACAAGAACATCATGGAGGAAACTGCCCCCATGATTCAGTTATTTCCATCTGGTCCTGCTCTTGACACATGGGGATTATTGCAATTCAAGGTGAGATATGGGTGGGGACACAGAGCCATACCATGTCAGAGAATGTAGGGGCAGAAAAATACGATACTTTTTCTCAACCATCATAAGGGTCATGGCTGACATACCTATTAACAAAAGACAAGTTAACAAAAAAGTGTAACACATTTATTTAATCAAAATTGTACATGACATGGGATTCTTCAGAAATGAAGACCCAAAGACCCAGGGAAAACTCTGATTTTATGCTTAGGCTTGATAAAGAATGGACAGCTGTATAGAAATGTGATTGGACAAAAGGTTATGATCTAATGGTGATAGACTGAGGGCAGGGAGGGTGACCCAGCAAGGACTGTCTGTTCAGATTCTTCTTGGATTCTCTGTAGTATTCCTGCCTCCCACATATGGTGCAGAACCCCTCTGGAATGAGGGTCTTCAAGGAAGAAAGGAAAAGAGAGTGAGTGATCTTTCTAGGTTTTAGGGCTTCCTTTGAGGGAGAGGATTTTTAGTTTCTGTGACCTGCCTTGGGGAGAGGAATTCTGGTTTCTGTAACCACTTTGGAGAAGGAAGAAGGGCAGGAAACAAAAGGATAGGAAGATCAGAAAGACCTTGCCTCTGAGGCAGTTCCAGTTTCCCTTAGTTCAAAGTACTCATCTTGCCAAAGTGCCACACTTTGTAGTATCATGTTCTGATCCCCAACGGAGAAATCCACACGTGAGTGTTTTGGTGACCCTGAGTGTAAGCTAACAGTTGTGGGGTCTAAGGTTGATATTTTAGTGCCTGTATCAATAAAACACTTGTCAGGTTGTCCTTTAATATTTAGAGAAATTTATTTTTGAGCTTAAGGGTAAAACAAAATTTGGTGCTTGACTTCCCCCTCAGAGTACTTTGCTAATCACACTTTTTTCTTCTTTGTTTCTTATCTCATGCTAAAGACTTCCTTCAGAAGGCCTGTATTTTTCTCTAGCAGGGGTTCTCAACTCATAGTTAGGGCCCAGTCTCGCCTGCATCTGCATCTGGTTGTGATCAGCACATTGAATTTTTGAACTGGGATGCCTTCAGGTTCACCAGTTTTTTCTTTAGTTTGCCACAAGCCACCATCATTCCCTATGGTATTACACACATTCAGAGGGACTCATTTTCTTTCTTAATCTTACCTGTCCTGTTTTAAATTTAAATTTATCAGTCTCTGCGTCAGGGGTGGTGGCTCACGCATGTAATCCCAGCACTTGGGAGGGCAAGGCATGTGGATCACTTGAGGTCAGGGGTTCAAGACCAGCCTGGCCAGCACGGTGAAACCCTTTCTCTACTAAAAATAGAAAAAATTAGACAGGCTTGGTGATGCGTGCCTGTAATCTCAGTTACTCGGGAGGCTGAGGCAGGAGAATAGCTTGAACCTGGGAGGTGGAGGCCACAGTGAGGCAAGATCATGCCACTGCACTCCAGCTTGAGTGACAGAGCTAGACTTCATCTCAAAATCTTTAATCTTTTCTAAGAAACCACCAGCAGTGTTGTTCCACATTATCTTTTTAGCAGCATTTTAAAATATATAACATGTGATTGATGGATGCCTTGAGAAGTTAAACATGATACTTTCTGCAGAATCTTGGAACAGTCATTTCTCTAGAGTTTAAGCCCATTTTGTCTCAGTTTGAACATTAGTCTTTTGTGGTTATGGCAAATGTTTGCTTCCAGTGCTTACTTGCCATTATGCCCATGTTTGAGTTCAAGTTTCAATAAAGATTCCTCAATTTGGAGTCTATATGTGGAACCTACAACTTTTAGCAAATACGAAAGCACCACATCAGTTTCTACATTGTAATTGCTCACAATATTTAACCCATCTCCTGGCCTATTCACGCGATTTGCTTGCTTCGTCCTCTGTGTGGACAGTGTTGATACCATTCGAATAACCTATCAAGTTGTTTTTTTGACAATGTTTCTTGCTTTGGGAGTGAGTGGAATTTCTCTTGCCTAAATTGAGGAAAAATATGAATTCGGAACAGTTAAATGTAGATTATCCCTTCATTATATAGAGTTACTTAAACTAAAGAAACATTTTAATACCATGTAGAAATACTTAACTGGGTCTTGACTGAATCTATGAATATAATACAAATACGAATTTATATATGATGTTACTAAAGGCACTAAGCTAAAAGCAATTTTAAATCTTGAAGCCTGGGCATGGTGATTCAGGCCGGTAAGCCCAGCACTTTGGGAAGGTGAGGTGGAAGAATCCCTTGAGGCCAGGATTTTGAGACCAGCCTGGGCAGTATAGCAAGACCCCATCTCTTAAAAAAAAAAAAAAAAAAAAAAAAGACTGTGCATGGCCTCTCATGCCTGTAGTCCTAGCTGGTCTGGAGGTTGAGGCGGAAGGATCACTTGAGCTCAGGAGTTTGGGGTTACAGTGAGCTATGATTGCACCACTATACTTTAGCCTGGGTGACAGATTGAGACCCTGTCTCATCAAACAAAAAGAAAAACCTTCTCGAGATGATTATTTTAAATTTTCTTTTGCTATCTTATTTTCTACTTCTGACATTTTTGGACATAATGGTCACCATGCCTTTATTTGTGAAGTTTTCTATAAGTGAACTTAAAAAAAAAAAACAAAAAAACTTGGTTTATTCCTGTAAGATGACAACAAATTGAAATAAGTTCAAATGTAAGGTTTCTTTTAAAACATGAAAAAAATTTTTTTTCACATTATTAAATGTATATTTCTTCTTAAGGTGATTCTAGTGAATATAAACAAAATTTCAGTGTCCTTTAAAAAATGTGTGTAAATTGTTACACATTTCGAAGAAATACATTAAAATGAATTCAGTATATATGAGAACTGAACATCTGTACTTTTCAAACTACAATATCCTTTTTTGGAATGCCAAAGTTTGTTTTTATCCAGTATACTGTAATGAAACACTCGTCATGTTTCAAATTAAAGTTTTTGGTTCAGTGAAACAGTAATTTAAATAAGCGAGGTTTTGTTTTTGTTTTTGTTTTTTTAAATGGGGATTATGTTGATTTTTATAGCTTTTTATTACAAGGAATTCTGAACATGCAGGACTTGAACTTTCTCATGTAGTAGTTCTCAGACTAGAGAAACCTTTCCTGTTCTGTGGCTTGGGTTAGTGTTTAGCAGTATTTTTAGTAACCATCCTAAGTCAGTAGCTATGTAAGCACTGAGTGAAGATGGAGTCACAGGGCAAACTGGGCTTGCTTCCCACAGGGAGGGCTGGGAGTTGAGCAGGAAGGAAGGCCTGTTCAGCAGTGCCTTGGGTGCAACTATGTCTGAGTAGGCAGTCGGTAACACAATGTCTCCCTTGTGCAAAGTAACTCTCTTAGTGAGTGCTCAGATATGTGAGGAAAAAGTATTTGGGTAAGTGAAGAAGCTTGGGGTGTTTCAAAGAGATTCTTTTCGTGTTTTTGTGGTATTTGGATTTAAGGGAGTGTACTGTTTGTTGCTGCAAAGTACTGGCTTTGTTTTCAGTGGCATTTTAGACTTTAGAACAAGCTCCTATTGCAGGCAGATTGAAGCGTCTTTCTTTCTGAAAATGTGAGCTTAATTTTAAAAGTGTGATTTGTTTGTGATAAAAAGTTAATTTGTGCTTCTGGAAATCAATGAAAATTAATTGTAGCAGTCATTTATAGGAATGAATTCTCTTAAAAATCTACTGTTTCCTGTCATTTTCATTCTGAAATCAGAGCCAACTTGTGACAGTGATAAAAACCACCTAAAACTGATTATGAGTGTTTAGATGTATAATGTTGATTTCCAGGATAATTTGCCTGTTTTAAAACAGTGTGGCAGTTAATTGTTTACATGACTGTGATATAAAAGTTTTATAATTTACTTCATTTTGAATGATATTAAGTTCAGTTTTCACCAGAAGAACTGGTTATGCTTTTAGAAATCTTGATATTGTGATTAACATAAATGGCTGGTATTTTTAGAATATTATTTTTATATTTTCAGCAACATTTAATTATCAAGCTATAAGAGTTAACTTTTATGGAGTATGTACATGTTTATAGTCTTTTTCTTTTGAATCTGTCTAGTGGAGTGTGACAATATGAACCGCTTTGACCGACCAGACAGAAATGTTCGGCAGCCTCAGGAAGGTTTTTGGAAAAGGCCACCCCAGAGGTGGAGTGGACAGGAGCATTACCATCTCAGCCACCCTGACCACTATCATCACCATGGAAAAAGTGACTTGAGCAGGTAAGTACTGTTCTAACTTAGATTTTATTTGCTGTCCTCTGATTTTGAATTATAATTCTCCCTTTTCCACAACCCTCAAAAAACCTGTTTTTGTCTGGTTTGTTTTTAGAGGCACCAAAAAGCACTCAAGTTTTATGTGGTACTAATTGGAATAATATGTCTAATTTGTTCTTTTTGACCCAAATGTTTTTTCATTAGTTTTATCATAAATATAAATACTTTATGTATATCTGCTTTTTGGACTTCAAGTTATGGTATGATTTTCTAGCTCTCATTTGGAAATGATGAAATGTTAATTTTGTTAAATTTATAGTTTTTCCAAATAATATTTAAAATTAGTGCCAAGTGATTGGTCGTCTTTTGCTCATGTAATAAGTTAAAATTTAAAAATTCCACAAGTACCATTAAAAACAGAGGAAGGTACTGTTTAGTGCTGAAGGTACTGTTTAGTCTTTTCTTTTTCAAAGGAGAGGATAGTCTTTAAATTGATCAGATCTTATTTTGTAATGAGGCTCCGTAGTCACTGAAACCTGGGATCAAAACCTGACCTGGCACAGATTAGCTTTGCAAGCTTAGATAATTTATTTAAACCATCTCCACTTTACTATCTTTAAAACATAATTAATAATATCTTTCTCTCAGTGTTTGAGAATCAGGGGTAAAAGTGCCTAGAGTAGTGTCTAGTTTACAGTAGACACTCTATGGAAGTTATTAGTTTTTCCTTTTCACTTTCTTATCTCATTCCACAGGGATTTCAGGTCATTTTGGAGCACATTTACAATACAAATAGTTCAACTGGTTTAAAGAAATAATGGAAGAAAAACATGATGTTGTATAGTTCCTAAAGTGAGGGAAAACATTGATTCTAAGATTCTTTGCAGTGAAAGCAAAGAATAAAATTCGATTTATTACAACATACACAGTATGCATAAGATAAAGGGTGTGTTTTTTTCCTGAATTAGTTTGTCAGAAAAGTTAAGCAACATTTTCAAACAACTGTTCCTTGGATGTCAACAGTTGTAGAAAAAGAGAGGGTCCCCGGTCAAATGAGTATGAGCATGAATAGATTATAAATATTTTTTAAATGGCGGACTCCATTGTGCTTTTATGTATAAATATAGTACTGTGATTTTGCAAAAGGTGGTAAAAGATATAATATGTAGCCATTTTCCAAAACATGTGATCACAAATCCCTTATACTTAGTTTATTTTAAGGGACTATGGTGTGGATCATGCACACAAGTGGTTCTTACTGAGGAGAGAAAAATGTACAGCATTCTTAGGGGTTGCTAATTTGACTGACTTAGCACAGAACTTCCCAACAATTGGGCTGAGGTATACTGGTTTGTTGTGAATGGATATAGATTGATCAGTTCATTGAAACTCTCAATCTTTGGGGTGTTGGTGCTGGGTTTGAGACACCCAGATCCACCTGAGCAAGTTATGGGATGGGTGGTACAGAAAGAAACCTCCTCCAAGACAAGCCTTACCCCAGCATAACTTAAAACTATTAATCTCTCTCTGTGCCTTGATATTAGAAAGGTTTGGGTGTACTAGCCCCAGGGCCTTTTCAATATTGCATGTGCAAAAGACCTTTTTCCATTCTAAAACTTCCTGAGTATTGCTTCGCTTTCTTCTGTCCCTTAACTCCCATTATTATTGTCATTAGTTATAGGATCATGCCTTATCCTTTACTCAGGGGTATTGGAAGACTGGTGGTTGAGAACTATTACATCCACTCATGTTCTCATCGTAATACTCCTCTGTCTTTTTACCTGGTCTAATCTTCCTCTTTTCTCTTCCGCCTAGACCTCCTTTTTTTCTACACCTTTTGATATGCTATCTAGAATTCTCTCATATCCTAGCAAACTCACATTCTTCATCTCTTCACCTACATTCTTCTAATCATAACTGAAACCTAGCTCTTTCCCAAATGTACTACTTCCCCAGGAACATTTTTACACCAAAGATTCTTATTTTCCAGTCACCCTCTTCAGTGAAACTCCTCTTCACTGGTTCCTACCTGGAGCTTACAAAAAGGCTTGGCCCTTGGCCCACTTTCCCTCTTTGTTATAAGCTTTACTGCAGTCCTGAGTGGCTGCAGTGTTCATGTACAAGTCATTTAACCCTCTGTTTGCTTAGTCCTGTAGACAGTGGTCTCCAACCTTTTTGGCACCAAGGACCAGTCTCCTGGAAGACAGATTTTCCACAGGCCACAGGTGGGAGGTTGGGGGATGGTTTTGGGATTGGGATGAAACTCTTCTGCCTCAAATCAGCAGGCATTAGTTAGATTCTCATAAAGCGTGTTCAACCTAGATCCCTTGCATGCGCAGCTCACAAGAGGGTTCGTGCTCCCTTGAGAATCTAATGCTGCCACTGATACGACAAGAGGTGGAGCTCCTGTCAGATAAGCAGTAATGCTTGCATGCCTGCCCTCTGCTCACCTCCTGCTGTGCGGCCTAGTTCTTAACAGACTGCAGACTGGTACTGGTCCCTGGCTAGGGGTTTGGGGACCCCAGCTGTGGGATTTTCTGTGAACAAGATACGTTATCTGCAAATAGTTTTTACCTTTTCCTTTCCATTTTGGATGAATTTCTTTTTATCTTTTGCATAATTGCTATGGCTACAACCTCTGTTGAGTAGAAGTGGTGAAAGCCAATAGGTGTGTCTTGTTTCTGATATTAGAGGGAAAATAAATATTTTAAATATTTTACTGTTAATGTGATGTTAGCTGTGGATTTTAAAAGAGACTTTCTATCAGTTTGAAGTTCCCTTCCATTCATGGATAGTTGAGTGTTTTTATTATGAAAGGATATTGGATTCTGTCAGTTACTTTTTCTGTGTCTATAGAGGTAATCTTTTTTTTCCGCTTTCGTTCTACTAATGTGGAGTAATACACTGACTTTTTCAGATATTGAACCAACCTTGCATTTCTTGGCAAAAGTCTACTTGGTCATGGTATATAATTCTTTGGTATGTTGTGTGTTGTGCTGGTATGTTGGTATGTTGTGTGACTCAGTTTGCTAGTATTTTGTTGAAGATTTTGTGTGTGTGTGTGTGTATATGTATTCTTAAAAAATATTGGTCTGTAGTTTTGTTTTTCTTCTTGAGATATCCTTGTCTTGTTTTGATATCAGGACCACACAGATTGAATTGGGAAGTATTCCTTTCACTTCTACTTTTGGGAAGAGTTTGTGAAGGGTTTTTGTGAATTCTTCTTTGAATGTTTTGTAGTATTGACCAGTGAAGTTATTTGGGCCTGGGCTTTTCTTTGTGGCAGTTTTTTTTGATTGCTAATTTAATTTTTATAGATATTCTGTAGATGTCTTTTTGGTCTTGTTGGTTTATAATGTTGTTTAAATCTTCTACTTTCTCATATATCTCTAATTGTTCTGTCCATTATTGAAAGTGAGTTGTTCAAGTCTCTAACTTCACTGTATCTTGTAGGGAAGGTGTGTTAGCAGTAAATTCTCTGTTTTTGTTTATCTGGGAATATCTTAATTTCTCTTTTATTTTGAAGGATAGTTTTGCCAAATGTAGACTTCTTGGTTGGCAGTGTTCCTTGTAATATTTCAACCCCCATGCTTTCTGATGAGAAATCAGCTGTTAATGTTACTGAGCATGTCTTCCACGTGATAAGTCCCCCCAACCCCCACCGGCTTTTTTTTCTGCATTAAGGATTTTCACTTTTTCTTTGGCTTTCAACAGTGAAATTGTAATATACCCCTCTTTTAGTTTATCATATCTGTAGTTTGTTGAGCCTCCTAGATATGCAGATTAAAGTTTTTCATCAAATTTGGGACATGTTTGGTCATTAGTTACATTCTTTCTGCCCCTCCTCACTTCACTGTGGCCACTTAACTAAGGGAATGTATGAGCATCATTCCTTGCTTGTCACAAAAAATTTGAAAAAATCAATACAAATAATGTGAAAACTACTTAAATCAGATTTCTCCCTGGCCAGAATTTGTTGTTGTTTTTTTGTGGTTGTTTACTGACTTTTCTAGACAGATTCTGTAAAAAGTCTGTATTTTAAAAAAATATTTGAAGTCTTTGCTTGGTTTGATTAGTGGTCAGCTAATGGTTGGAAGGAGATTTCATTGAATGCCTCGTACTAATAAGTCTCCCACCCTCCATCAGGGCGCTCTGTGTGTTTGCTTAGGCACACCTACAACTCCTGTAAGTAGTTTGCAACTTAGGCACACCTGCAGTCCCCGGAAGTAGTTTGCAGCTCTGCCTTGGCCTTCACTTCCTGCTTGTTCAGTTTCAAAGTCAGCCAAAGGTGGAAGATTAGGGAATTCTCTGGTATTTCCTTGGCATGTACATCTACAGCCTATACATGTATATGTTCTTCTCTATTCCCAGGACTATATTGGAGCATTTCAAAGCCTCTTGTGGACATTTCTTTCCTCAGGTTTTCCTTTTATGATTTTTGGTCAGCTTCTTGTTTGTCCCAATTGATATTGCCATTTCAGGCAGCTGAGATTTTAAGCAGTGCACTAGGGATAAGGGAATTAATGAACAAGCTTTGAATCAGCTCAAACCAACTCCTGGGAATGGGCTTTTTCTAGGGAGCTGCCAGAGAGATCAGATCATAGCAGTTCTTTGGAAGTGGTGCTTTTTGGAGAGTTCTAAACCCATTTTGTCCCCCAATCTCTAGTGATTGCTGGATTTCACAGCTGCCATGCTTGTTGGAATGCTTTTGGTTCTCAAGCTACCGCAAAGGTAGGGAGATGGGTGTGGCTATTGGATAAATTAAAATGCCACAGAGCTTGCTGTTTCTCTGAGATTCAGCAGTTTTTATTGATTAAATGCTCCTTAGTTGTCGTAAGCATTTGGCTGACTAGAGTTCTGAAAAAGTTGATTTTGATAAATTTGCCAGTGTTCTTAGTGCTTTAATGGAGGAATGGAGTTTTAGAAATCTCTATCATTCTGGCATTGTTTCTCTTCATTTGTCATGCTTTATTTTTCTTTCATTCTTTTTTTTTAAACTAATAGAT